ATTGATCAAATGATAATTTGATTGGTTAATTATTACGGAGACTCACGGGTAGATCTACAAAAATTAACCAATCAGACGAATGTCTTCCTATGAGGTTTCGGCCAGTTTCGCCCATTTTCGGAGGTTTCGGCAGTTTCGCACAATTTCGGAGGGTTCAGCCAGTTTCGCCCAATTTCGGAGGTTTTAGCCAGTTTCTCCTAGCATCGGATGTAACTTTATACTCATTTATGCATGTGTTTTTCACATGATCCGAAAACTTTCGTATTCTATTGGCTATTTGTTTCGGAAGTATTTGAAGTTTCGCCCGTTTCGGAGGTTTCGCCCATTTCGGAAGTTTCGCCCGGTTTCGGAGGTTTCGGAAGTTTCGGATTTGGGACTTCTGGCGAAACTATGTTTCGGAGGTTTCGGCCGGCCGAAAGTTTCGGTTTAGGCCGAAATACTGGCTAACACTTAATAAAATATAATAAAAGAATGGCTTTTTAACTAACATTTAAAATTTCGATATGGCTTTTATATAAAAACTTAACATCAGTACAGTTTTATCGACTAATTTCGCTAAACTTGAACATTAGCGCTCAAGAAAGTAATCATTTTCCGATGTTTATTATGCGCTATAGTTATCTTATTGATGTAGTTTTCGAAATTGGTAATAAATTCCTATTTTAATCCAGACTGATTGTAGTCAAAAGATAATTTGTCACATTGAAATTTTATTTTTCTATTTCCAGTTTGATAAATATTTAAATGCAAAGTGTTTATGTCAAAATCATTAATTCATTGACGATTATTGTCTTGCTATATTTTAACTTAGAATTATAATAAAGTCAAGTAGCAGATGATAACCTATAAAAAGTAACCACAAAAAAGATGCCTTTGTAATTACTAAGTAACTCTCAAGATTGATAACGAACAAGTTAAACACCTCATCAAACAAATGTTAGGTAGTCTCAGTATAATTTAGATCATGCCTTTTATGAATAGTTATAACTCTTAAATTACATTGCCACAAGTTATAATAAATCCTGAATTTAGAAACTTACTATGGGTCTTATTATTTTAAGTCTATCAAGTGTTCAAATAAAGTCCTAAAATTTAAAGGTCAATAATTAGGGCTCTGGCCTAAACGCCGCCATATTACTAGTATTATAACCAATATGATTAAATTATTTTGACCATGTCGTAAATTTAAATGACTAAATTATTTTAGATAGCCTAAATCGTAATAAAATTTTTCAGAATATTGTTTTTGCGCAGTGAATTTTCTAATGCTTTTGCTTCTTCTAACCCAAGATTATTCCCAGAAAAATCTAAAAAAGTCAGTGTGGTGTTCTTGCAAAGTGCATTTGCCAATGCTTTTCCTCCTTCTGATCCGAGATTATTCTCATCAAGATCCAAAGAAGTCAGTGTGGAGTTCTTGTAAAGAGCATTTGCCAATGCTTTTCCTCCTTCTGATCCAAGATCATTACCACGGAGATTTAACTCTGTTAAGGAGGTGTTCTTGCAAAGAGCATTTTGCCAATGCTTTTCCTCCTTCTGATCCAAGCTTATTATAATGAAGATTCAAAGAAGGCAGCGTAGTGTTCTTGCAAAGTGCATTTGCTAATGCTTTTCCACCTTCTGATCTAAAATTATTATCATCAAGATTCAAAGAAGTCAGCGTGGTATTCTTGCAAAGTGTATCTGCTAATATTTTTCCTCCTTCTGATCCAAGATTATTTTCTGCAAGATCTAAAGAAGTCAGCGTGGTGTTCTTGCAAAGTGCAGCTGCTAGTGCTTTTCCTCCTTCGGATCCAGGATTATTCCCAGCAAGATTCAAAGAGGTCAGTATATTGTTCTTGTAAGGCCATTTGAAGTTATAATTTCGTTTAACGTTCCTTTCGAAGCTTAAGCGTAGTGGGGGGAGGGGGTCAAATTAAACAAACATTATATAACACCTCAAAAAAATCACCATTATTATTGGTTGGTTCGTAGTCACATGATTTATTGAAATCTCAAAGATGCAGCGGACATTCTGATTGGCTTGTTTAATTTCAGGGGGGACTGTTGGAGGCGGTGGGGGGAGAACGTTGTAACTTCAAACCGCCTAAAGTGCCTTTATTAACTCGTTTAAATTTTTTAATCTGCGCTTGCTATAAAGATCCCAGGTTGAAGCACTTTTCTGATCTTCAGTGTTATATTGGCAGTATTCAATTAATTCTTCATAAAGTTCTAACGCTTTGAGAAATTTTCTTGCTCAAAACATTCACGTACATCCTTTCTCATATTCTCAAGATTGCTATAGACTTGTGTTAATGTATTTGAATTTGTCGTATAAGACAATAAAGTGGAGATAATGGTGTAATTTCAAATGAATTTACGTGTACGTTTGTATTATTTTGAAAAGCATCGCTATTTTGAGCCGATGTCTCAACGGAATAACGTCGATCCAAAGCCATTTCACGATTATTTAAAATATTTGCATTATTTGGTTCGATTTCTAATAAATTATTTAAATCCGCAGGTGATTTTAATAATGTTTTTTCTATATACATAGGTGATTCTTGTAAATTATAATCTTGTATCATAAAGGAATTCTATGAATGAGTAATTTCTAAACCATGATTGTTTATATTTTGATTACTATCAACAATCAAAGCTTTCAAATTAGAAATAATGATTTGAATTTCTGGGCGATTATTAGGCTCACTTTGCAGACAGTCTATTATAGTTTAATTACAAAAATCTGTTATCAAAATGCCATAAAACATCATGCAAAATGAATTCGTCAAAAAATCTATCTTCATAAATCTTAATATATTTTTCTATAGGGCTTACAATATTTTCAGTAAATTGAATGTTGTGGCAAATCTCTTGCATAAGGAAGCCAACATTATATACATCAGATTTTTTATAAAATCTGAGATGTTGATATCTAACAATTTGTCCCTTTAACTTATTTTTTGAAAGCCCGTAATCAAGTTTTATATTTTTATTCTGTACAAATATATTTTCCGAACGCTATTGAAAATAGATATTTTAATTTAATGACAATAAAACAAAGAATTCAAAATTATAGTATAATGATTATATTCTAAACATCACCAATTCAAGATTAACTATTCCTTTAGCATGTAAATATCTAACAGCACTTGCAATTTGCAATGAGAATTTAATCATATCATTCCATGAAAGGTGTTGTGAATTTTCTTGTAAATATGGCCTTAAGGTTCCACCGTTGGCATTCTCAAAAATCAATATATAAGGAATAATACTTGAATCTCCTTCAATGAATTAAAATATATATATATAATGATTAACGTAAAATTTGTTTTATAAATAAAGAAACTAAGATATGTATTATTCTACCTTCTTTTCTAGTAACACCATTAAAACGTATAATGTTGGGGTGTATACCCACTCTATGATATAACTTAAGCTGTGCATTAATGATGGGTGACGCATGACGCAACTTGCGTCATTGACGCATGACGAAACCATTTCGTCAGGCAACTTCGAATTGACGAAATGACGCATGACGCAACTTATGACGCATTACGCGACTCATGACGCAACTTATGACTAATGACGCAACTTAAGACTAAATGATAAATTTTAGGGAATTTACAAATAAGGGCCCGGAAAGTGAAAATAATTACAAATACGGGCCCAAATTAAAATTAATTACATATAAGGGCCTAATTTTTAAAAAATATTACATATAAGGGCCCAAAATAACCGCGACGCAATTCACGTGATCGTTAGTAAGAAACGTAAAATATGAAACGAGCGATTGTAAATTAGTAATTATAAGAAAAGAAAAAGTTTTTAAATTTAATAAATTTTGTATAACAAGCCACTATGATGTCAAGTAAAACATTGCGAATTGGTATAGCATTTACTAATATAGAAGATGTCGTTCAGCTTTAGAGAGCTACTCTATTGAAACTTCGCCTTATTAATAATTGTGCTAGTTTAACGCTATTTTTATGCAATGTTTAAGCGAAAATGATTAAAACTAGCAATAAAAATTTTATCAAATTTGGATAGTTGGATTCCGAGAAACCATCTCTGAAAGAAAATTTTACCGTTTTGTTTTTCAAGATTTTTAAAGTTTTTTGCGATGATTTCTCGACTAATACTAAACAAAATTTAATGAAGTTTTTTATTTTAATTCTACAATACTATGGAATTAAAATAAATAATTTTTACCATATTTGATCAA